ATAGAGGGAGAGAGTGGGATTGAGGAAGGAGGAGTGAGAGGTGAAAGGGAACAGCCGAGTGTGAGGGGGAGGGAAGTGTAAGGTATGAAACAGGACATGAACAGGTAAGGGAGGGGGAGGAGAAGATGAAAGAGGAGAAAACAGAAGTAATAGCTGCCATTAGTGTCATCCATAAATAAGGCTTATTATAATAAGAGATCTCAGCATATGAAGGGCTCCGGCATAGATCCTCATGAACTTTAAATCAACCTCAACAAACTACTGCAGAATACTGCATAATATTTTACATGCTACAATTGCTTTAAAATGGTAGGTAACCAAAAAATGAAAATCTGTCATGACCCTCACGTCGATTCAAACCTGTGTGACTTTATTTCTTCTGTGGAACACAAAAGAAGATATTTTTGAAAAATGTTTTTTTTTTTTTGTCCATACAATAGAAGTCAATGGTCACCAAAACTCTTCAGAAACCTTCAGAATACCTTCTTTTATGTTCTACAGAAGAAAGAAAGACAGGTTTGAAACAAGGGTGAATAAATGATGGCATTTACAATTTTCTTTCTTTGGGTGTTTTTGGTTACTGATGCCAGTGTAACAAAACACTATTCATGGGAGTATCTGTCACTTATGAAAAAATTATTCTGCACCTGAAAGTGTCAGACATTAAAAAAATCTTACTGACTCCAAACTTCCAAACAGTAGTGTATTATTGTTTCAATATAAATTAATAAGTCATTATTTACCAATAAGTGAGCTGAACTGTTTAAGTCAGAGTTGAAGCAGAATTTGTGAATTGGGTAAGTTTGATTAACGAATCAGATCAATCAGCAGAATGGTTTGCTCAGGAATTCCTGATGTTTTCACTATAAACTGCTGTTGTACAGAAAAAAGGAGCTTAAGATTTCATCTTTTGTGGAAATAACAGCATAAAGGTTTAAAAAACATGATGGGAGCAAGTAAATAATGACAGAACTTTCTTTTATTAGTGTACTATCCCTTTAAGTAAAATGAAAGAATATTAACACTGGCTACAGTGACCCTGGGCTTTCTCTGAAGATTGACTTTTTACAAAACAAGGACTGTGAAAGCATTTGAGCACTGAGCAAATCTGACACACAATAATATGAGTGCAGACCTTAACACAGAACTAAACATAACACAAGGCTTCTTTTAAGCACAAATGCTTCTCCCTCACCATGCTGTCTAGATTTTTAATAGTCCAAACTGTGAAAAGCACACAAATACAGTATAATCAGCTAATTGGTTTCTGACACCTGAACTAAATTTGAACTAACTGATGGAGCACTTTATGTGTGTCCTTCTGAAGCAAGTACACACACAGTCCCCAACCAGGGAAAGGTCAGTCCATTGCTCATGTGTCATGTGTCTGACTTCATGATGCCATTAAAGAGAAGAACAATTAGATGTGTATAAGCTGATTTCCCATTATGCATCAGAGAGTAAAGAGAGAGAGACAGAGAACAAGGGTCTCCTAATAACTTCCCTTTGGCACATAATAGCAGTACTGGAATTCTGGATGCAGTCTGAGGATCAATTAGATGGACTGATGGAAAATGTAGAGCGAGTCTCTCTGACCAGGAACAGATCCTTAGCTAATATAAAATAAAACAAGCAAAGCCAAGAATGATATTTTATAGTCTTGCTCTAGTAGTGAAGTACACAATGTT